TAAAAAAAAAGTATAAAAAAAAACGTGAGAACACTTCCCATATTCATACCACTTTAATTCTTTTCCCATTTTCAAAACCCTTCTCCTCCAACAATTTCTCTTTCAACTTCAAACATTTCATCAATTCCATTGTTTGAGGCATCAAATTAAAAGTGCACCTTGATTTTCCGTTCTCAACATTGATCTTGAAATCTGCAAGAGGTAACCTAATTTTTGTGAAAGTTACATTCTTCAAGTTTTCTTGCTATTCTCTTGTGTGCTAATAGAAATTAAGGTATGGGTATGAAACTTTGGATTATATATTGTGATTAGTTGGAAAATATACGATTTAACATATGGGTAATAAATGACAAAAGAAAGTTTGGTCCTTTTATATTTTGGTATACATTGTACTCAACGTGTTTGATGAAAATCCTCAATCACAATTATGCCTCCCATCCCTTTAGTTGCTTGGACCTATTACTATCATTGGACACCCACATCATGAGGAGGAATCCTGTTGAATACACATGACATAAGACATTGCATTACCTTAGTTTGACAAACATGTTCTCTCTTTTGCAAAATTTCTAAAGAACATGTGTCTAATGTGTGGTTTTACTTGTGCAGGATAACTACATATCAACAATGCCCCTAAAAGCATCATCTACAAGAAAAGGATAAGAGACAATCTGGCCTTCTAATACGAGAAAGCAAGCTTGGTCCAAACCACTCCCATATGAAATATATATCGGAAGAGGCCGAACAACGATCAAGCATCTTTAATAGATGGGTTCCTCTACCAGAGAGGGAAGTCAATTTGGAAAGTTTACGAAATTGCGGTATTCCTGTGGTCAAAACAGGATTAGCTTGGACAAAACTATACACCAAACCGCACAAAATATATACGGTGGTGGTCAAGGAATTTATGGTGAATTTTAATCGAGAGTTTGGGTCCCTTGTACGAATAATAATGAGACTAAGAGGTGACTTATGATTATAGTTCGTGCATTAATTAACATAGATATTATAAGAGATCAATTAATAATTATAAGCTATGCGATCTTTGTTAAATTCATATAGATAAATGTGTTCATATGTGTGTGAATTTATATAGAGATATAATAAGTTTGAGTATATGAATATGATTAGTGTTGTTCGAGAGAAATCACTAACTATATGAATTAATTCGATCGTTGGCATATATGAAATATAGTTGAATAAATTGGAATCAAATGTATGATAAAAAAACCTAAGTCAAATCGGAAATCCAAACTATCCAATAACATAATCTTCTCTACAGTTTTTATTAAAGTTTGTTATTTTAATTAATAGATTGTTATAATTATCTCTCGATCTTTTATAATGTTTATGTTAATTATTACACGAGCTAGAATTTTACATCACCTATCAGCAGTATTATCTCTAAATCAATTAATTGTCGCGTAAACGATTAAAGCATTAAACACACAATAATTAATTAACAAGTATTAAAATGACATGAAAATCTTGAGCTACATCATTAATCCTAACAATAAAAGTATTTAGCAACTCATAATATTGAATTTAAATACGCAAAAGTGGAAAGATATCACCAAAATTTGACAAAACGTGAATATTATCCAATTACGTGTTGCCGGCTCTCTGTGTAATTTATATAATCCTTTGCCCCTTTTTTTCTCCAAGCTTCAGCCTTTGTTTTCTGAATCTTGCTATAAGTACATGAAAATTATACAGAAGGGATACAGGATTTTGAAATGGAGGGAATATATTTAAAATGGGAAGAGGGAAAAACAGACGGATATGATGCTACCATTCAAATTCATGTTAAAAATCTGTGAGTTATTACATGTGCTTGCAGCATTTTCTTGTTTTCTTCCCAGAAAGGCTGTCTGTGCGTGTTGCGTGAATGTGTTTATATCACAGTTCCCCCAAAAACTTGTTCCAAAAGCTGCGTGAACGTGTATATATATAAATCCAAAAATTGCTAGCTATAAGTGATACAGTCTCAGCACTTTCACTCTTGATATCATATTCAGGCAACTAATTACTTGGAGCAGGCCGAGAGATACTGGTAACCCTCAAGAGGACCTGAAAACACAATCTTTAATGCGTCATTTACTGTATAATCAAAAACTGCAGGCTGCATGTCCACTTCCATTTTTTGATGAAGCTAAATTTTGGAAAGGACAAAACGGGCCTGAATACTGAAGCAAGAGATGCAAAAGCATTTCCGAAACATCATAGATTGTTTTAAAAGGCTCGAAATTGATTTCCTAATGGGATCTGGATTGTAAATAATCTCTTGCTTGGGCAACATCAACGCAATCTTCAATCAGAGATGTTTTGTGCTTTGAACTTTAGGAGAATAAAATTGATGAAGTTGCAATTATACATTCCAATTCTTCTATTTTATTAGTTTTCAATTTTGGGGTCTAAGTTTTGGTCGCTATTCTGGTAAACTGCAGCGCTATCATGGATTGTGTTGGATGCGAGAAGTGTCGTCTATGGGGAAAACTTCAGGTTCTTGGTCTTGGGACTGCATTGAAGTTTCTTCTCTGTTGATAGTCAAGATTTTCCAAATCAGCCTGTAAGTTCCGTATGTCGTGGATTAATGTTCCACTACTTAGGTACTAGCAAAACTCTTCTTTCTTTCTCTTATCTCTCAGCTGCAATTAATTGCAAAGAAACGAAGTAATTGCTTTGGTGAACCTGCTTAATTAACTATCAGAATCTGTCAAATTCGTCCAAGAAATTGTCCCTTCAGACGAGAAGACAACGGAAAATTCGCTTCAGAGCCTCCTGGACAAGAAATTAGCTTATGGCAAAAAGTACACGATGCAGTTGGAGGGCTTCGGTAAATAACTACTCTCTGCTGCGTGGAAGCCATGCTTTGTTGACATTACTTTGTGTATGGTTGTGAAATGTATAATTCAGTAATCTTTTCTTTCTTTCAGGTCAGTTAAACTCTATTATAGCCGAAATCTTTAGATGTATTTGTATCAATTTCGGAAGTCAGATGTAAAGCAAGTATACCAACTGACCAGGTTTCTGGAGAAAACCACTTAATTGGAAGCCATACAAAATCATACTCGTATAGGAAACATAACTTCTGAAATTAGTAACATTATTTTTCGAACTTTTTTTTCCCGGAAATCCAAAAGTTATCTTCTATTGTATTTCGACCGTGCTTACCTGTGTGAAATGAAGTTTGTTACTGGTTCGCTCTCTAATGTTTTTCAACTGCCCCTTGAATTTTAAGAACGCCTCGTTTTTGTAAGCATTGGTGGATTGAATGTGGTAAATTTTCTTACTTTAAAAGAAAGTTTGGTACTTATTTGGAAGTAATTCTTGCCGTACTAACAAACTAACATGTGTACTAAACGTATATTATTTATAAGTAAACCTTTTAAGTTTAGCCAAACATTCTCTATCTTGATTCTTATGTTGAGTAGTACCAGAATCAAACATTAATACCATTTTCTTGTCAGGGTGAGTATGTACACCAAATGTAACATTTACTTCAAAGAAATACAAGGCCACAAAGAGATGATAGCATCATCAGAAAGAATAAACGTAAATATGTTTGTCAAATACAAGAACCCGTCTCCCAATTTGCACTATTTGTTCAATAAATACAAGAAACCGGAGAAATCATGGCTCATCGTGTTGTTGTTCCAATGTTCCATCCTCTTTCTTTTTCTCTGGTGCTTTGCTTTTGCTGAGTATCCTTTGTTACTGCTCTTCTAGCATTGCCTGGCAATGCTCTATACCCCATTTTCCCTCGGCTTCCAATGGAAACTCTGACCTTCTCCATTCCGACATTTACTCCAATTCTTCGCACGTGTGGCTGCATTGGAGACTTTATTTGGATTTTCTTGTGAAGGCTTCGTCTCAATATGCTACACAGCTTCTTACTTCCAATTCTAGTATCTTTAGGACTCTTGCAAGGCGCCTGTTTAGGCAAACAAGTAACTTCAACTTCCTGGACCTCTTCTCTCGTATCTGCTGGGATTGGTGTCAAGGGGAGGAATGGAAGAGGCTTGGCTACACCAGGTAAACTGGGTAATGGAATTAAAGAGTTGCGTCGTTGGGTTGGTGCAGCAGAAATCATCTGTGCAGTTGTACAAAGAGAAGCTCTGCCTGTACGCTTTGGCAATGGTAAACGTTCAGCCATCTCAGGATTATTTTCTTTCTCTAATGAATCACTGAGCTTAGCAAGTCCGTCTGTAAGATTGGAGCGCATTGAAAATTTGTTGTTCTCAGCAAATGGACGAGGGACACTCACTTGATCTTTATGAACACAAATCACTTTAGTTGCAAATGGTGCTCTCACAGGCTCATGATAATCCTCTTCTTGCTGCTGTCTCGTTTCTTGATGTTGCTGTTCGGCTATTCTAGAGTCCATATGCTGCTGTGCTAGCTTTCTCTCTACCACAATTTGTGTTTCCAATTCTTTGATCTGAAAATTGTTCAGTGGCATAAATTGTAATGTTTATCAGCAATAAACTGAAAAATAAACTGAACATTCACGTACCTTGTCTTGCAAGTTTCTATTTTTTGCTTCTTTCTCCTTTATCTTTACCTCAAGACCATGGTTAATATCCTCAATCTTCTTAACTTGAAAATCCTTACTCTTCAAATCTTGTTTAAGTTTTTCAACCTTCAAACATGAAGTTAGTGTTTAAGAAAATAAGTTTGCCTCATATAAAGGTACAAAACTCTAGCTTAGAAGTGTTCTTTCGTATTAGACTTGCTATTCTTACCATCTGTTTGTACTTGAAGAGCTCAGTGCTGTCCATTTGCTTCTTTGCAGGACCTAACTCTATTCCTCTAACTCTACTCGCAAAATTTAACGAGCAAAGAGTCTCGGTCACATCATTCTCATTAGGACTGATCTGCACAAACATCAACGTCTTTGAATCTCCTCCTGCAGATAGGAATTGAGAAGTTTAGTTTCCATTTCAGGCTATGTATTTGCTTCCAAGTTAAAAAGGGAAAAGAAAAAAATCAGGCGTGATGAAACAAATTATATACATATACAAGTATGTACCTAGAGAGTCTTGAAGCAAGTGAGTGAGCTTGGAGTTCCTACATTGTAATGGTAAAAGAATATTTAGATATATACATATAAAAGTTAGAATCTTAATATGCGTTCTTATACCACCAAATCTAAAAGCATAAGCTATCTGAGATGGTATATAAATTTAATTGAATTTAGTCGTCAACCCGCTCCTCATGCATGTCAGATTCATTATATATATCAATGATTAGACACGTGCACAATTTTTATAAAGTTATTAGAAAGTAAACACATTTTTGTATATATATGTGAACATTCTCTATACCTGAATGGAACGTGTGGGCTCTTAGTAGCAAGTGCAGATATCACGTCTCCAAGTGCAGATAGTGATCTATTGATATTCTGGGTTTCTTTTAGCCTTTCACCCTGCACTTCGGTCTTAGCTATTCTCTCACTTCCTGCTAGGTCAACCAGCCATAGTTTGCTTCTTGTGCATTCTCCATTAATTAGATTCTCTCCCTTCACCATTACACAGTGCATGCTGCATTTGAAAAACATGAAGTGCTCAGCATTAATAACCTGCCTTTTGTCGAAAGCCAACTATCAACGAAATGGAATGAGGTGCAAAAGAAATCAAACCAATGCGATCTGCTACTGTGCTCATTGGCATTTGTTGATCCAACTGCCCTTCCATTGCTACCAGTCTGAAGGACTTCCCATACTTCATTCACATTGGTCACACGAGCTTCAACAATTCCAGGAACGTGATGTCCACCTTCAACTACCTGTTTTATCTCAAGCCTGCCAATAGTCGAATTGTAGTAGATCAAACTACAGAAGAATTCAGTTAAAGTGCGGTTTAATTAGTATAACTTAAAATTGTAACACCCCGAAAAACTCTTCTAAGCATTAGGCAGGGGTAGCGGACTAGGAACACCAACAAAATCTACTCATCTACATATTCACCAGATGAACATGGTAAATACTATTGTTTTCTCTCAACCCGGTGAAATCTAGCAGTTTCACATTGTGTTGAGTGAATACATAAAATGAGAAGAATTTTGAAAATTGTCATCAACACATAAATGACTATTAAATCAATGCTTCAATTATTCAGTAACAAAAGTCCTATCCAAATAAATAAGAGAGATGGAAGAGAAGAAATCTATCCAGCTATATTGTTTAAGCAACGAACGAACTTTTTCAAAGAAAAGCAAATCAATGCATTTTATAGTACCAAAAATAGATAGATAAAGGTGGATGGACATAGGCATTGGCATTATATCAATCAGCCTACCTCTTCGAAGTAACTCCAGGCTGGGACCCTGAAACTAGTAAATCTCGTATCTGCTCATTATAAACCTCCAAGACACTCACAGATATTTCATATCGAAATGTTTTCTTTCGGTCCTCAACGATGTGAAATAGCTCCTCAAGGGTTCTATAGTTAACCCCACGGTTATCATGTGTTCCCTCCATTGTAAAAGTTTTCCCCGTTCCTGTCTGACCATAAGCAAATATGCAAACATTGTATCCATCTAAAACTGAAGTTGCAAATGGGGCTGTATCCTCAAAAACATCGGCTACTCATACAAGTAAAAATGAAAGGAAAGTACAAGTTAGAGAATGATATGGAATATTATAAATAAACAAACATGCGTTCCTTTGCAATTACCCTGGTCTGCTTGGGGGCTGAAGACCGCGTCAAACTTAAAGATTTTCTTGGATATTCCATTTGATTTAACAGCGAGTTCACCATCATTTTCCGATGAAAAGTCAATTGCCATCGAAGCTTCTGCAGCAATCTCTTCAGGGTTTAGAGGCCGACACCTACAGAATACTCTAATATTTCCTGAAAAAGTCATCATTGTCAAATGTGAGCATTTGTCGAATTTCAAGCCCCGACTTGAGTCAAAAATATAATCTCCTTACCTTTCAATTCGAGAACCTTATTATAGAGTTCTTTCCTCTCCTTGACCCCTTCGAGGAATTTAATTTTAACATCATCATATAATTGTGTGTGCTCATTTACTGTCAACAAATGTACAAATATAAATTAGAAACAAGTTAACTAATATTTATATTGATAACAAACTCAAAGATATACAAAAGATTACTTTTGGACTGAATGATTGAGCTAACACCATCCATATCTGCCAGGCATTGCTTAAAAGATGTAGCATCTTCTAAAAGCGCAATATGATCCATCTTCAGAAGCTGTAATAAAAGAATTTTCATAAATAAAAGTAAAAACCTGTTTGTTTGACTCGAAATGTGTCACAAACACTATATACTACACCTTGAGTTTTCTTGTCAAGTCCCTCAGTGATGAAAACCATTTGCTCTTTTCTTTCACTTGGCCCTCAATAGCAAAGGCTGGAGAATCGAAAATCAGCACAGAAACTAATCACACAGACTATAATTTTATTAGATATGATCTTCCTCACCCAGAGATCCAACATGCATTGATTTGCGCATAAGCTCATTCCGAAGATCGTTCAAAGACTTCAAAGCTTCTTGGCATTCTCTGCTTTTGAGCTCATTCTCTCTCTTAACCTCCTCTAAAACCATTTTTGTTTCTACAAGTTCCTTCTTCTGGGATTCATGCTCCATTTGAAGCCTATGAAATTCTCCATCCATGGAACCATAACCAATATCCTAGACACGTGTAGTTTAGAAAAAGTATAAAATGAAAGTAAATATATTGAGCCTTAACTCGTATTTCAATAGGTTTCAAAAAGTATAATTTACTTGTGGTGACTTGCATTGTGGCATGGACGCCAATCCCATTCCTTTGAGTAATTCAACCCCTCCAGCCTCTGAGATTATAAATATATGCATTCATCAGCAGTTCATAAAGCTTTTAAGCAGTTGAATTGCAAGATAACACTTAATTATCAGTTTACCTGCAGAAGCAAATTTCCTAATGGAAATACCACAAACTATTGGGCTTCCAATTACTCCTTCAAATCTAATAAACAATCCTTCGTCTCCATTAATGCAAGTTTTAAGATCAGATATCACCAGCGGTGTATTTGAGCCAACACGAGCATAAATATCTAAGCACGATACAACCTGCAAATTTTCAACTAGTTCAATACATTGATCATTTTATGCACCAAAATAAATTATGAATTTGTATCTTACCCAATGAATCCATACCTTTTGGTCCTGTAAGAAAACATCAAAAACTCTCATTCCGGGAGGACCATCACTAAACACAATCTCGGCGAAGTACAGATCAATCGTGTAAGTTCCAGATTCTAGAACCTCAAAATGATATGAAAAATTCCCAAAACGTGCAGTATGGTAAAGACTAAGGCCTTCTCCCTGCCCAGTTATGGGATCATTAGTCCTCATAATATCACCTCCGTTGAAACAAGAATCTTCAGAAAACTGTACTGCACCTTGGAACACAATACTATCGGTTGATCCAACATTGACGCTCATAACATGAGTGCAGCGTTTGATCGAATTCTGTTCCACAAATGGTGATGTAACAAGCTCGAATGGAGAGTCCGTACAAGTATCTTCTTCATTTACAGCTGGGTTCTCAAGGGATTCTTTCATTTCAGACCCCTTGATTCCATTTTCTAAAGAGACATCAATTCTATCACCACCCTTCAAAAATTCAGGTGAAAGTTCATATCTTGGACTAGGAACATCAGGTGAACGCATGCATATTACCAAATCAGGTGATGCCAATGAAAACCCCACAGACCTGCCTGAAATAATCAAGAAAAGTTATAAATTAAGTAAATCATTCGATCAAATCATAAATCTTATTAAAGAAAATTGGGACTTTCTTGAACTTCTAAAGGAAAAACATCAAAATAAGCAACCTCATATGTTCATGAAGATTAGAACTTACAACTATCCATTTTCAGGATTCATAATTTGGAACTACATACCATGAATCTCCGTTGGACCGGGGTCAACTGAATTCTCCATGATTGAACCTACTGAGCTACACAACGTGGGTAAAATGCCTGCCAATTAAAAGAAAAATCAAGAAAATCAAGAACCCATATACAAATCTATACAAAAAAAAGGAAAAAAAAGAAAAAGAAAACGTACTAATAAACAAAATCTTATAAATCTAAAATACATTTTCTTACACTTAGTGTGAGTTTGAGAGTTAGTATGGGTAAGATCTTGCCGTGGTAGGAAAGAAACATCGGTTATAAGAAGTGGGTCATGCCATTCAAAATCTTCCATTGATAAAGAAACAGTTTTTTTTTTTTTTTAAATTGTATTTTTGAAGATTTGAAATGAAAAAGAAAAGAGTGTTAATAATAAGTAACCAGAGCTGAAAAGGGAATTAATGTTACAGAGAGAGTGTCAAAAGGAGAAAGCCGTTGAATTCATTTTGTTGATGACGATCCCTGTTTTTTGAAATTTGAATTTTCTGAACCGGGTAAACGGCTATAGTTTATTCTCTATTGGGACAGCCTCTATGAACAAGAAACAAAATATTAAATTACTTTATTTTAATTGTAATTTTGAAAGCATATCTAACAATTCTTTCTATAAGAAACAGTTTTTTTTTTTTTTTTAAATTGTATTTTTGAAGATTTGAAATGAAAAAGAAAAGAGTGTTAAAAGGGAATTAATGTTACAGAGAGAGTGTCAAAAGGAGAAAGCCGTTGAATTCATTTTGTTGATGACGATCCCTGTTTTTTGAAATTTGAATTTTCTGAACCGGGTAAACGCCTATAGTTTATTCTCTCTTGGGACAGCCTCTATGAACAAGAAACAAAATATTAAAAATTACTTTATTTTGGCCCCGTTTGGTAAACCTTATTTTTTTCATTCTCATTCTTCTACTCATTTTTAACCACACATTCTTCAACAATTTACTATTCAATAATACATTCTTTCAAAAGAATGTGTCCTAAACACACTCTTTAATTGTAATTTTGAAAGCATATCTAACAATTCTTTCTAATTTAATTGAGTCCATCATTTAAATATTATGTAATTGTCACATAACTTGAGACTTAACCCCAGTAAGGATGAGAGCTTTTTTGGAAGGGATTAAAATTGAAAAACTAACCGTTATTGTTGACTTTTATTAGACGGATGAGATCCAATAACGACTATATTTTCAATTTTAATTGAATTAAAATATCTCCCAAACAAGCTCTGAATATCATTATTCTTTTTTAAACGGTAAAGTACAAAATGAGAGATGTTGGCTCTATAAATGGATGACTAAATCACTTATCTAGTCGCCTATTTATCTAGTATTATTTGAAGTTTTGAATCATTATACATCTATCGTTAGATTATTAGTGTTTGTTTGGTAGGGATTTTTGTGGGAAGAATTGATTTTGAATAGTGATATAATGGGAAATGTGTTATTGAAAAAGAAGAAAAAAATTATTGATGTGAAGAAAAATATTATTTTATTGAAAAATATGTGGTTGAAAATGAGAATTGATTTGAGAATTGATTTTGAGAATCAGAAACAAACAACCCCTTAATATGTTTTAGTAAGCTTAAAAAGTGATTTTATGTCAAGATAACGAGTGTTCATAACTTTTTTTAATGATAAATTATGAGTTAAGAAGAATAGTAACATTAGATCGTGAAATATTGGTAACTAGTCTTTCCCCCGTGCGATGCACGGTAAGATGCACAAAACGACAATTCAATACTAATTTCGACTCACAAAATTTGCCACTGACTACCAATACAAATATAGTCCAAAAATCGTTATCATTCAACTTGGAAAAGGGGTAAAAAAGATGGAAAAAATTCAGCATTTCAAATTTCACTTCACATGACATGTATAAAAATCACGTCCAAACTTTTACTGAAAGTAATCATTAGAATTAAAATCAGGATTGTATTCATTTGATATATAAAATCAAAATTGTATTAATTTAAAATCAAATTTATTTTGTTCAATTAAGCTCATTTTTCTACCGTTGCTTATATCTCCCTTTAATCATTCATATCTAACGTTAATATAACATTCAAAATAATGCTAATATTACATTCAAAATAACAATATATACTGCACATTGTAGGATTTATTATAGATAGGATATAGAT